CATTGCCATTTCCCTCCTACTCCTGTGACCGACATGACCTGTGAGAGCTAGAATACCTACATCCGTCGTTTAACTGTAGCGCCTCCAAAATACACATGAGCTATAAATTTTGACGTTTAATTTGGTACAGCTCACCAACTTGTTGGTTTGCTTTTCACCATTTTCAAAATGCTCTCACATTTAATGTTCGTAAATAGTTAATTTGAGTACTACAGGCTCCGTAAAACTATTTCACGTAGTATCTGAACTACATGCACCTTCATGTACCATAGAATTCTCCCGAAAGGGCTCAATTTAAGCGGTGCTATTGTATTCACTGAGTTTAATTTAGCAGAGACTACTTTTCATTGATGTAGGTTCATCGCATCAGATGTGTTGGACGACTGCTTTATAATTGGTCTAAGAAATACATTGCAAATGATTAATCGGTTCCATTGTACGTTCGAGATTTTGTTTACCAAACATTGTTTATGTTCTGGCTATGCTGCAACCCTTTTGTTAGTCCTGTTTCTGTGGAACTCTAAGCTGTCTCTACCCACCAGACTTCTTGTAAATATGGCTATCGTACATTCCTTCTCAGTGGTTATTATACCTACTTTCTCAAAATTCACACTCCATGGAACGCTTCCTATCTCTTCCACGCCCCGGCGACATCATTATTCATTGGTTTGATCTGCTCCTAATCCTTTGGACTTTTTTAAGCCGTCTTATGCAGTTGCTGCATACCTATCTTAGTAACCAGGAAAAATCGGGAAAATTCATGTTCAAATGTCGCAGACATTCGTACTCGTCTGATTTCAACTAGGAGGTGGAAATTCCTTGTAGGGTTTAAACAATGGCCAACTAGATTCACCTTAAATTGACCGGAGTCAAGCGACGCGTTATTGTGCAACCAGTCACGCGTAAATCACTGAATATAGTAGATTAAACATTGCATTTATACATTTGGATCTCGCATGCATTATTTTTACATTTTCCTTCTTTCTGCGAACCTTTTGGAAAATCGCATCGAAGAAAACTTGTCTTTTAAACGTCAACTCAGGCCATTCAGATGCATTTCCATTTGATTGCGAGGTGAGACCACCAAATGCAAAATAAATCACTTGGAACTCGCACGCCAGAAGTATTAATCTGTTGAGTATATGAAAACCTCCAACATCACCGATCTTTGGTCCTTCAATTGATACAAAAGAGAAATAATGTTATTTGGAATCCTCGTGCTCAGCTGCTGGCGGGTGGAGATGAATGGAGGATTACCTATAATGGCTGACATTCCTTCAATAGCGTATGTTGGGTTCAGCTCTACCCCAATGTTTGTAGTTAAGTAATGCATTAGCTTGCATTGATGCCGGAAACGACCTTATCACTCTCAACTTTTAACCAGAGGTCGTCACTCATCTGGCGTTTTTTTGTAGCTATCACGGAGTTGTATCTTGTACTAAAATGATTTTCGTGTTAGTATGGCTCAGCTCAGATGGATGTGCTGCTATTCTATCTCAAACTCTTGGTCGGCATTTGGCTGTCTCCCAAGTGATGACCCAATCGCATTGTACACATCTGTTGCAGAACCGCTTCAACATTAACGTGCCGCACAAGTTCCGAGTGCATACGTACATGCTACCGACGTTTTGCGAGCACTGCGGTTCTATCCTCTTTGGCATAATGCGTCAGGGTCTGCAATGCGAGGTGTGCAAAGCGAATATCCATCGGCGCTGCGAGAAGAATGTGGCCTCACACTGTGGCGTGAAGACGCGCAACCTCATTACTGCCATCCGCGAGTGCGGCCTCAACCCCTCCGACCTAGGCCTCAGCGCGGAAGCGGTCGCTGCCGCTAGCGCTGCCGAGGTTTCCGTGCACTCAGCTCCCACACATCACGACCTCAAAGTTTCTGAACTTTACCCCTGGTAAGCCTATCCACTCCCACCTTGGTGCGTCTGGCTTCTCCAGGTTTTTTTTTGGGTGTTTTTAAGCAACGAGCTGTTAGCTCATATTCAAATCACTTGCATTTTTCATTCATGCTTTGACACCATTTTTTTTTCATCAAACTTCAAGTGCCTCTGAATAGTCTTGTGTATCATTTTGTGTTTCCTCGTGAGTCCATTAAAGCTCGGGCTTTTTTTGGTGCCTTGAATGGGTTATAACGTATTTAGAGTTGATCTAAAGTTCACTTCTATACTCTTGATACCTGTTGCATTAGCAGTTGTGAGACCCATGCTTATTGGCATTGCAATTCAGCTGGATTTTATAGCATGTGAGACGGATGAAAGGTGATTTGTTAGGCTGGTCCCAAAATGTGTGTGCACCCTTGTCCTTTTTTCATTATTATTACCACTGGTACAGATGCACGTCGTCCGACCGTACATGTGCGTGCGCGCTTCTTGCGGGAAGTGTGCACACAAGCACCTGATAGTGTCAACGCGCTTGTGCGCACTCGTGTCGTCCTAGTTCCTCATAGACGCAAACATCTCAAGATTGGGAGACTTGATTTTGCTGTACCTACAGTGAGTCCCTCTCTACCAAAACTGTTGATTCCTGGGTCAAGCATTTATTGGAAATGTCCTTATTGTTCATGTAACCCTCCTAACCAGAGAGTCTTAGCACATGCAACATCCCAATACACGCTGTTAATGACCATGACAATGTACTCAGTTGTTTGTTTTGACATTTGTAATCATAGAAGATTCTCACTTTCTTTCCAACTAGTAGTAGCAGCGGATGCGTTCCGCACGAGAGGTCTTTCAGTTCACCTATCCCGATGCCTCCAACGACACCAAATGCTTCAGATATGGCTGCCTCCGATCTTGACGCGATGCATCTGAGTAAGGACTCCGTAGCCCATGGCCTGATCGCTCATCGGCCTAGCTCCATGATGGTGAGTGCACGACGTTGCAATGTGAATTTCCATCCCATCTCAAACTGAAAATCATTTCTACTATGCATGGTTATAAAAGTCATTCCGTTTTCGCTTAATCTCTGTTTAAGGAGCTGAGGTCCGAATTAACACTCACAAAATGGTCCTCGAAGTACAGCTGTTGAACCTTGGGATTAAAACTTCATTTCGGTCTGCAACGTGTCGCGTTGACAAGGTCATTAAATGATTGTCTGCAAAGTAGAGTTTTCGTACGAATGTGTTTACCGAACGATTAATGTTAATATTACATCACGAGTGTGATTCAGCGTAAATTGTTTATGCATAAGCCATGAACTGAGATATTGGACTACATAGTCCAATGACACTCAAAGCGAATTGCCTTCGGTAGTCAGATCGGCTGAGTAACTAGCATAGCATTCTCCATTTCTCTTTTAAAAACCAAATATGTTGTTTTTCGGCTACAAATGACGAAGCGAGGCGCTTTTTGAGACTTGGTCTAACCGCACATCTTGGGAGATACGTCAGAGTCTATGAATGAGTATTCTTGGCAAATGGTGAATTGGAGGGCGGTGTCTGGACGCAATGAATACAAAAGTGAGGTCAATGCGACTTGTGCTCATATCTGTTTTGTAGGAGGGTGAAGAAGGAGAGGTAGCGTCGAGTGCTGTGGGACCGGGCTCAGCATTAATGAGTCGTCGGCACTTTGTACCGCGTATTCCCCGCTTGGCCGATTTCAATCTGCTCAAGGTGCTGGGAAAGGGCAGCTTCGGCAAGGTTATGCTGGCAGAGCACCGTGCTACTGGCGAGGTGTTCGCCGTCAAAATCCTCAAGAAGGACGTCATCATTCAGGAAGAGGATGTGGAGTGCACCATGGCCGAGAGGCGCATCCTCGTCTTAGCTGCTCAGCACCCCTTTCTCACCGCGCTCTACTGCTCATTCCAAACTGAGGTGATTCTCACTATTTTAGGGTTTATCCCTTCAATTCGGCTCCAGATCGAGGCCTCTGTCATTTTGCAAACCAAAGTTTCACGTCTTTGAACACTTTGGTGAGCAAAATAACTGACCTTTTTTGAATACTTCTACATACGGGCGCCAGCTTAGTATGTTCACACTCTTGCATGCAACCGTTTTCACATCAACCGATTCCGTGGTCTCCATCTCTGCTAAAGCATAGTCATCAACATATGCGTTGTGCTTTGCTTGACCGCACTCCAGCATCTAGCTACGTGTACAGTTATAGATACTCATTGAATTGTGTACACTTGGTTGTCTGAAACAACTTCAACTTGTTGTATGCGTTTATAAGTTTCGCATCTGTTTGGTTTTGTCCTATCTCTCGCGGGTAAGGTCGTTGGGGTCATTGAGATCTCAAAGCTGATGGAATAGTGTTTTCTTTTGTTTTTAGGATCGTCTATTTTTCGTGATGGAATACGTAAACGGTGGCGACCTGATGTTTCAGATCCAAAGGGCACGGCGCTTTGATGAGGCGCGTGCTCGCTTTTATGCTGCTGAAGTAATTCTTGCGCTGATGTTCCTCCATCGCCACTTCATTGTGTATCGAGACTTGAAACTTGACAACATCCTCCTCGACGCTGAGGGACACTGCAAACTCGCTGATTTTGGCATGTGCAAAGAGGGCATGTTTCCAGGTGCCACAACCTCTACTTTCTGTGGCACTCCTGACTACATTGCTCCAGAGGTAGCACTCCCCTTCACTTTACTTCATCAGAAGCTCCGATGTTTTGCTATTGATGCATGCGCGCCTTTTCTTTACTGCTCAGACCGTAGAATTCCTGGGCGTCTTTTTTTTCAAAGGAATCCCCTGTGCCTTCTCTCTTGGAGCTGTCTTGACAAAGTAGAGACTGGGCACCCTTAGCGCGTACTCTGTTCGTATGAAGTGAATACGGGATATTCATAGCTCCTGCAGTTCGGTGGTCATTGTTGTGTTTATGCGTCAAAAGTAAGGTAGACTAGGGCGGATTACACAAACGAGATGTATATGTTCAGCGAAGTCATGTGATAACTACTGGCCTGGAGACATAAATGCTCACAGGCCAAAACGCATGCTGATGGTGTGGCTTGATTGCCCAATTATTAAGTGAAGTAATAATAACGTGACCTTATTTCTGGGTTCATGTGGACGTAAGGCGTGCATTTCTGTGCTCGTGTGTGTGTATTTAACGTAAACTTCTATTTTTGCGCCTTGTACTGTATGTAAATGTACTCTTGATTGTAAGGTTATTTACTTCACACAATGTTGGTCAATTTTTTATAGATCCCTATCAAATGGCTAATCTAAACTCTACCTTTTCTTGCCTTGTATGAATCTTTTCACGACCGGGCTCGTAGCATTCCATTCATTCTCCCTCATTTTGAGCAATAATTTTACTTTGGTTGTTTTCCTTAGCTTAGAATTTCGCTACAAGTTTTTCATCCATGCTTTGAGTAAGTTGATAGTATTCGAAGTCCTGATCCTATAACTACTTTTAAAATTTTTGACCTAATGATTTAGCTGTAACAATACCTATTGCGGTATGGAATTTCACTTTTCTCGTTATTGGAGCAATATCAATGGAAATCATTCCATTTTATTTGTAACCTTTAGATTTTAGCTGAACAGGATTATGGATTTAGTGTGGACTGGTGGGCATTGGGTGTGCTCATGTACGAGATGCTGGCCGGAGCGCCACCCTTTGAAGGGGACACAGAGCAGGACCTCTTCAACGCCATATCATACGGCGATGTCAAGTACCCTTCGTCGTTGCAGGACGATGCTGTCGACATTCTCTCCAAGGTGGGTTCTCTTCCAGCCCACCTATTTCACGCCTCTTTTCCTTATCCCCAATATATTTTTGAAGTTTGCATTTCTGTTGTTTTTTTAAGCTATAAAATTTTTGCCATTTACTCTTTAGTTAGGTCAATTTCCAACCTGTCGGATTGACAGCTTGAGGAAGGGTATATAAACACGTTTGGCCAAATCCTGTCTCGTTCTCCTTTAAGCAATTGTTGTTGATGATGTTGCTGAGACAAAGGTCTCTTGTTGGCATTCATCCGGGTCGTGGACTGCATACATTAACACGATCACCTCGACCGGCATCACCATTTGACCCTACAACCGCCCATGCATAATGCTAATGGTACATGCAGTGACTAGTCCCTGAATTGTCTGCCTTTTGTATGTTAGCCTCTCTTGACCATGGCGTTGACTGCCCATCTCTGTGGAGCGATTTCCAGTGCCACTAGCAACTGCGGGGTTGTGCTAACCATCTTTGAAGCATTTCGTCAATGCCATGCTCAGCTACTCACCTCTTGCTTGCTCAACTCGCATTTCAACAGAAACATTTCACTGAAACTATTGATTCTAGTTTTCTTAGAATCGCAGAAATTTTAGTGTCCATGTTTTCGAGACCCTAAAGGCACCATCTCTTTGACTGTTCAACTTTGGGTACGTAAGCAAGATTTCCTAGCTTTTCATATGGAAATTTGAATTGTCCTGATAGTTTAGTGTCATTTTGGACGTGTTCATCTGTTTGTAACCTGGGCGTAGCTTACTGTAACCGACGTGTAATGCTGACGTTGGTGCCCTGATCCAGATTTGCATATTGAAGGAAAGTACTCGATTTTGTTCCATCCATTCACAATTAAGGCGATTTCATCACTGATTAGTGTCGACATTTCATGAAAATTCCGAAACAATCCCTCTAATGCACAAACTTCCTACGTCTTTCTACCAAAATTCAAGTTGAGATATTCAAAATAAGGCTTCCAATTTTTCCTTATTTTTAACTCCTTTTTCCACTTTAAAGTTTTAATGACATGCACAATAAGTGTCTCAGGTATAATAGAGATAAGGACTTTGTCTAACCGTCGCTTCATAATTTTTTTTTCGCATTGTTTAGTTTTTGCTGAAGTCGCCAGCCAGGCGATTGGGCTGTGTGATGGTCGAGGGGGGTGAGCTTGCAATTCAGTGCCATCCCTTCTTCAGAGAGATCGACTGGAAGTTGCTGGAGGAACGCAAAATTCGTCCTCCTTTTCGACCCAAAGTTCGCTCACGTTTTGACACTACTAACTTCGATAAAGTACGTGCCTTCCCCTCATCCTACCCATGTCATCCGTTTCTATATCGCAGTCTTGATTTGTCCCAAAGTCTACAGGCCATCATCTCCATGAATAGCGTTTTCGTCTTTAACATTCAGAAGCATTAGCTTTATACATTTTTAGGACTTCACAAATGAGGAACCAGTGTTGACGCCTTTGGACCATTCAAGCGAATTAGCTTCAGTAGAACAGGATGTGTTTGCAGCGTTTGATTGCGTGAATTCGGACTACAGTGCGTTGCGTCACCACGCCACTAGGCCGAGTCAACAGCAGCCCCTGCTCTCCGTCTCTGAGGGAGTTAACATCACCAGCAGTGATCGTCTGCATACTCCTGTTTCCCCCGAGAAGCGCAAGGCTGCTGCTACAAGCACCACTACTCCAACATCATCCCCAACCAACGGGTAAAGGTGGAACCAGCGACGATCCCTCCCGCTGTCTCCATTCGCTCACCCAACTATCCTGCTCCTCCGTCTATTTGCCTGCCATCCTCTAAGCGCCCTTCCTTCGTCTAGAGTGCCCGAATCGTCCCCGTCCCGAACTCCGTGTGTGTGCAATAACGCCCTCCACTCAGTCGCCACTACTGCAACACCACCCATTTATTCACCGCTGTACATGTCCAAGATTCTCGCGGGTGCGTACGCTCGAAAGAAAGAGGATGCAGAGGTATAATGGAATCCGCGCTTCGTCTTTCCTATCTACATTGTTGTCCGCTTGTCCGTCTTTCCCCTTTTCCGTCTCATCCATTTCTCTTCAACCCTTCCCTGGAAAGGGCGTACGGGTCCGTACTTTCTTCCCTTTTCACCTGTGATCTTCCATATCCAACCGACATCAGCCCGGCTCCACTCCCTACCCAACTCCGTCGCTTTTTCCATGTGTGCGTATATGTGGATTCGCGTGGGCATTGTTAATTGGAACAGCGCTCTAACGCCTCTAACAATGCTACATACAGTTGTTATTGCTGGTGTCTATGGTACTGATGATGTGAAAATGGAGCTGGACTTCTGCATTTGATTTCCGTCGCCCTTTTCTTACCCCTTGTATGTGCCTCTTGTTCTCCCTCACAACCGATTCGACCGCAACTGTTGCCCTAATTTGTGGTGATATATACATATGTAACTGGATACTGATGAGATGCTGTTGATTGGAACGCCGTTGATTTCATTCCTTTGTTCATTCTCATTTTAATGCCCCGCTGTTTTGCTCCTCAACTCTGCAGTGGTTCCTTCCTTTGTCTCTAACTCAAATCCCTCCTCAGCGACCTTACCGTATGCATTTCAGACTTCTTCACTCTTTTGCTTTTGACGTATATAATGAAATCACTACTGAGACGTGCACGTGGTTTTCTCCCGCAGATTCGACCAAAATGAGTGCAACCTCTCCACTTTCGGAATTCCCAAATACAACGGGTTTTGAGACGCTAAGGCTAAGTAGCCCACTTTGGGATGTTTAAACCCACTGTCTTGCTTGCTGAACCTAGATCCTCTCTTGGCCCAAAATACCGTGCCAAAAGTTAAAGGAGTCACTGATGACACCACGGCATACCGTTGCTGTTGTCTGATTATGGTCTCGATCTTTGGGTCTCACAATGCCTCTAGTCGGTTATTGTGGTGTGTTGAGTAAGTCACCTCTCCTCATGGTCTAGAAGAGAGCTCTGGCGTTGGAGACTTGCCGTCATAGTGAGTGATGAGTCAGTGTACTGGGTTTCCAGGATCAGTCGTTGGATGTATATGTCCACTTCAAGTACCCAAGGTATTGTGGATTTTAGTATGCTTCACTCTCCCTGGATCATCAAACAGTTGCATTTTACACTTATTTATAGTCTTTAGAGGCTCATGTTTCCTTTGAAGTGACACGTTTTGCAGTCCTCAGAAGTGGCAAGGTGAATAAATGAAAATGTATACTAGTAGTGAGACAGGGAGGACACGTTGTATATGTTAGAAATGGGGGTTAACGGCGGCGGATGCTGGCAAGAGAAGGAAGGAGGTGGGTTGTGGAAGTAGCAAATAGTAGTTGAGTGAATTGCGCCTCGGGACTTTAGGGAAAATGTACAATTTGCAGTCTTCCCTGAAGGTACCCTAGATAAAGAAACTAATATCTCAATCAACACAGCTTTATACTCATATATTTAAGTAGTAAGAATTTACCTGTGAGATGTATGCAAATCAATGCATTTGACCGGGACTAGTTATTGACGTGGAGTGGTTTTGGCGGCCAGGGCCCGTCATCGGTTGTTCTACAGATGACAGTGGCGTAAATTAATGTAGGTCGAAAAAGTTACTTGCGTTCAAGGCCAGGTCCCATCAGTACTTTAGGAGCACAAAAATATACTCTCAAATTTTTACTGTCATACGAAAGCGTTTAGGCTAGTACGGATCTTAGTACTCAAAGAAAGTTCGATAAGAATTGGGTTGTAGAACATAATTTTTAAGTATCGATATCCGGATTTTAAAAAATGATAAAATCGAAAAATCCAACAATTCAGCCAGATCGAAGAAGCTAACAAGGACCATAAAAGTCACCATCAGTTGAATCGGCAACACTACGACTACCTACTTGAGATGAAGGGAACTGCTGATCGACTAGATGGGAAGAAGCGTTGATCAGGACAATAAACACCCTGTTGTTGTTGCGGTTGATGTTGGTATTGGCAGCCAGAAGAGCAGGAGTCCACAGAGTCCGTGTGAGCGGAAGAGACTTCACTGCTGCCGCCCGCTCCGCCACGGCCGCCACTACCTCCTCCAACACCCTGACGACAACTCTCGTAACCGCTGCTGCCTCGGTCTTCTCGACTATCTTTTTGGCCCATTCCTCCAGATCTGCTGCCCCTGTGGTATGCAAATTCCCCATTAGCTCTTAAAGTTTCCTTTGACGCATTCCTCTAACACTTCGTTGGCTGGAACTCTACCCAAGCAGAAGTTTTAAATTTCCCCCAATTGACTTTGAAATTTTCCTTCTTAGCCATATCTTGCCGTCTGTGTCAGGCATATGTTTGCGTCACCAGTTGTTACAGTGTTAGCTAGCCTGTTTCCACTTTATCGTCCAAAAAAACTTTTTATTATACTTCTAAACGCCAAAATGCAAATGTGCATTCCTATAGCATAGTAGATATTTAATTCACTCGTAAATGTCGCTTGCGGAAAATTGATAAAAACGCCAAACAGATAACTGCACTAAACGAGTAATTTATTCAACGAATTACCAAGCCATTCCTTAGCAAATGTCATAACGGAAACTGCATTGTACACATTAGACCAGCTGACAGACGAATAACTTCATTTCATGCTTTATTATAACAACTGAGAAGTAATCTGACGGCTGTGATTCTGGGGTAAGTAGTTGATGTTTGTAATTGGATCCTTCTTCGACCTTACTATCTACAATCAATGAAAAAACAGTACTCCCATTGGTTTAATTTACTTGACGTTAGAAACACATTTGAAGTTAGATCACTTAAAAGTAAGGCTGAGTTCAAACATCACCCCTGTACGTGTCAATCGGAGGCAATCAACCACTTACGTTCGGTATGTAGAGAGGCTCTGATGCATTTGATTCATGAATGTCGACGGATCGCCGGCACACATTCGTGATGTCTCTCTAAGTATGGGATTCTGAAGCGACGGAGTCACGGACGGATAGTAATGGGACTGCTGTGGTGTGCGACCGATGCCTCGGTCACTGCTCGGAGCCCGAGGGAAATTGGTGCGTGAGTAGGCGCCAGGTAGAGAGGAAGTAGTGCGCAGTGGGATTGTCATTGCCGACGTCGATCCGCCAACCCCTTCCTCTGCTTCTACCGCCGCTCCCTTCTCGATTGATGCAGTAGCAGAGCCTTTTTTGCTCCTCCTCTCCTTCCTGCGAGCGTGCCATCGCCGCAGTGTACAAAGGATAGAAGGGAGAGTAAAATTTTTGGATTTTTTTGTCTCCTGCGGGGGTGCAGAAGCGGGCGACGAGGAAGTACGAGCAGGTGTGTCTTCCTCCACCAAATCCCTTTGTAAACCCACACACGTGTATTGCAGTGGGAGTGCCGTTTGGGAAAAGTCGGAGGCTGCAGAAGATGGCAATGGCAACTGCGTGGACCAAGCCTGCATAGATGATTGGAGATAAGGAGAGGTAGGGAGGGACCAAGGGTAGTATTGCATTGGCGCAAGTTGTGGGCTATACACCGGAGACCAAAAGGGCTGTGTGGGCGGTGGAGGCTGGCATGGGGAGGGATGGGCTGTTGAAGACTGTGACATTTGTGTTGGCATCCACGGAAACGAGACTGTTCTCTGAATAAATACAGGCACAGGGGAGACTGATGATGTCTGCTGGGATTCGTTGCGCCGTTGAAGAGATCTGTAAAAATGCTCGTGTGTACAAAGTAA